AGAGAGAGAAGGGTGGGGAGTGGATATAGAAACATAAACAAATTTGAGGCATTATGGTGAAATCAGGCTCATCACCCTTTTTGTCCATTTAAATACATATTTCTGTGTGGATTTTACTTTAGTAAAAACGTTTCAACACGAACTGACAGGGAGGGATCTATCGTCCAAGCAGATAAAACCTAGATGCTCTCCCTACGGGGTTCGAACATAGTTCTTCTGCATGCGACAACAGCACACCTAACCATGATACCACAGACGCCGGTTTGAAAATGACAATGACAATGTTTATTCCTCTCGCAGGGAGAATTCTGGGAGTTTGCTGGCCTGGCGTACAAAGAAAATGTTAAGTTTAGTTGTAATTATTATTATTATTATTATTATTATTATTATTATTATTATTATTATTATTATTATTATTATTATCATTATTATTATGTTCTACAGGTTGTTTCAGAACCCAAGTATAACACCTTTTCTACCAAACTGTGGAAAATCAATGCCATAATAATATGAGGGTTTATATGGTCGCTTTTAGAGACAAGCGACTAACCCAGAAATTTTGACCTACTCCAAAAATGGGCATTGACCCATCTATAGGAGAAGTTTTGTTTCCATTAGTGTGTATATTTGTTTGGTTATAGAACTCTCATTGTCTTTTAAAGAAACTGAACAAGGGGCAAAAATTTACCTTCGATTTTATCAAAACAGCATTTTTCGAGATAGCCCCCTTTTGCTTAAAAGCGACCGTATGCAAAAAGATATATTATATCCAAATTTCAGGTTTTGAGAACAAGAGTTTTCTTTTATTCACACATAGCTTTCTATTCACTCACAAATCTGTTTTCTTATTTAAGTGAGCTTTATACTTTACAACCAGGAATGGGTACTTATTCAAATTTACAGTGATATTTTTAGGAGTTACAGCAGATTATACTTTTGATTTTTTGTGCAAAACCAGATCCAGGAAAATACTTTTATTCAAAAACAGATATATCCCAAATTCACTCTCACGCCTAGATGAGAGAGTGAGAGACGGACGAAAAACAAACGAACAAGCAAAGCAACAGTGAAACAGAAAAAACAAACTAACAAAACAAAACACAAACATAGATGCAGTGAAAATAATCTGTAATTGTTTTTTTTCCTCTCTTGTTTCAGAAATTACTGCCCAAGAGAACGCATCGCCCCACCATGAACCGCCTCAAACCGGGAAATCCCGCAGGGAGCAGTGGAGGATTCCCCAGCACCATTTCCTTATACGTCACATCCGTTACCCTTCTATGGGTTCTGCTCCTCCCGCAAAGAGTGGTGACGTCACAGTACTCCAGCAGTGATGACGCAGCGGCGTCCAGCAGACTGACGCCAGACTTCAGCGCCTTCTCCCACATCCAGGAAGACTTTGACGAAATTCTCCACGCCAAACTCAGCATTGATCTCCTCCGCTCCCACCCCTCCTCCCTGCTGGTCACGTGGCGTCTGAGTAACGTGACACAAGCCGATAGCACGCTCGAGGCTACGGCGCTATGCGAGACGGGCAACGGGAAGATCATCTCTAACAAGTTCACGTCATCAGTCGACTCGTTCCAGTTCATGAACCTCAACTCGGACACGGAGTACGTTATCTGCGTGCACATGTTGGAGAAATCTAAGTCAACGAACACAAGCATCCTTCACTACAACTGTCAGTCGTTCGCCACCATCCCCGTGATGAGGCCGGACAGCGTGATCGGCGTGATGCTCACACTAGGGTACCTGCTCGCCATGGGGGCTATCGGCTACGTGGTGTGGTGGAGGAAAGCCAAGAAGCTGAGGGACAACGAGGAGGAGGAGAGGAGGAGGATCGAGGAGGAGGAAGGAGAGGAGGGAGAGGAGGGAGAAAGAAACGCGGGGTTTGGGGAGAAAGGGAAGACCTCTGGTCAGAAATCTGAGTCGCGTAGCTCAAAGGACGGGCCTGAAGGAAGTGAGCAAGGGGAGAGTAGAAATGGCGCCCACCCCTCGTCGTCTAAGAGCCCCAGCAAGGCTGTGACTGGATGCTTCACCGGAAGCAAGACTCCCAAATTTCAGGACATCGCAGAGGAAGATCCCATTCAGCTCAACGTAAAAGACAGAGAGATTTCTTTTTAAAACTACCATCACGTTTGACTCAATTTTAGAAATTTTATCTAATTTTTTTTCTCGAACGAAATAAGAACTATACAACGTTATATTATTATCGATCAAAATTGGTCGCTTTTAAGCACAAGGGGGCTATCCCGAAAAATTCTGTTTTGAGAAAATCGAAGGTAAAGTTTTTGCCCCTTGTTCAGTTTCTTTAACAGACAAGGAGAGTTTTCTCTATAACCAAACAAATATACACACCAATGAAACCAAACTTCTCATATAGGTAGGGCAATGCTCACTCTTGGTGTAGGTCGAGATTTCTGAAAAGCCCCGAAATCTGGGTTAGCCCTCTTGTCCTTAAAAGCGACCATTTTAGATCTCTCTTTACTGTACAGCTTCACCTTTTTATTTTCTGACAGCGTCTGTGGTTTAGGCTGAAAGGTTAGACTCAATTACCTTGTGCTCAAAGGCTAAAACAGCACCTGGACATGGATGGCTGGTGCCTCTATAAATAAATAATTGGTGATGAAGATGATGATGATGATGATGATGATGATGATGATGATGATGATGATGATGATGATGGTGATGGTGGTGGTGGTGATGGTGGTCTTGTGCTCAAAGATAAAAGTTCGGTCCTAATTTAAGATGCAAGAGGGGGACGGAATTGTTTTATGGAGTACCCTAAGCAGCATGCGTAGGGTGGAGAGTCTCACACAGGCTGTCGTGGCGCCGACAGATGTGTGTGTATGGGGGCGATGGGGAGTGGGGGTAACAGCGGACATCCTCTAATGATTGCTCTTTACAAAATATTAACTAGATTGGCGTTGGCGACATTTTCTAGATTTTTCAGTTTGGCTGCACAGTCCTACTCCTACTTATAGCTCAAGACGTTCTCAGTCCAAGTAATAAAGATAAGTATGTCACATAACGCAGTGCTGGCCAGTAGGTTACTGCGTGTTCATTATTGTTACTATACCTGAACGTATGCGTTCATGACAAGATCTCTATACTTTTTAAATTTCTTTTCTTTTTTTTTGTTGTAATGTAAGTTTTTTACACCCCTATCGGTACAATTAGGAACATAGATAGTTTAAAGAGCTGCGGAGCTGGCCTACCATAGAAAACTGCATCTCCCCTCGACGCTTAACTGCAACAGAGGATGAAAAAGTAAAGTAAGTAAGACAATTTAAAAGGCGGGATTCGGCCCTATTTGACTGGGCCAACCTGTTGTATACAATGTCTCAGTAGAACCACAGAGATATTCGATACAACTTCTCCCCATACGAGATTCGAACTAGAGCCTTCTGCGCGCGACATACGGAGCGCCTAACCGCCACTATACGGAACGGTGCAGCAGCGCAATCTTTTAAGATTGCCGCGCAATAATACGATCGTTAAAACGCACAGCGTAGTCTTAAGATTACACTGATCGGTAATTAGCGGGGAAACATCTGTAACTTTAACCTTGGAAAACCAAAACATGATTGTGGGTTGTAAGAGTCACATCTGTCACACACTGACCGCGTTTTGATAGAGATTGACCACAGCTATTTCTATTTTGGGGTTAGGCTGGCTGAAGAAAGATACTGGGGGGAAATAGATGATACACACGAAGAAAGTAAAATCACCCATTCTGCTATAATATCAGGTAGCCACAAGGAAGCATTTTCGCACGAGGTTTCAAAGTATGAATGGGGTATAGAGCAATAGAATAATATATAGGAAAAAAAGTGTCCTTTTCCTACAGCTTTAGATTATAGTGGCCACAAATGATGTTCCTCAAAGTTCTCCATCAATAACTACAGGCTTTGCTGGGGTCAAGGAGCATATTATTTGTGTGGTGCCTGAGTAAAGATATAACGTCGGCTCTTTTGTTACTTTTATGGCTTACTGCTCAACAGTGCTTTTCTCTAGCTCAGGATATTATTACATATATATACGTTTACAAAATAGTTTATATCGATCAATAATTCCCCAGTTCATTCTTTTTTTCATTAATTTAAAAAAATGTATTCCTATTGATGTAGAGTTTCTAATAGGGCTGGACCAAATCTATTTTGGGGTCAGGCAGGCTGAAGAAAGTCTTGGGGAAAATAGATAAGCAAAAAAAAGACAACCACCCATTCTGCAATCATTTCAGTTAGCCTAATGAAAGCATTTTCGCACCAGGTTTCAAAGTATGAATGGGCTCTAGAGCAATAGAATACAATATCCGAGAAAAAGTGTCCTTTTCCTACAGCTTCAGATTTATGGTGGCTACAACTGTTTTTCAAAGTTTTCCATCAATAACTACAGGCTTTGCTTGGGTCAAGGAACATATTATTATTATTTGTGTGATCCCTGAGTAAAGATAAAAAGTCGGCTCTATTATTATTTTATGGTTTACTGCTCAACTGTGCTTTTCTCTAGCGCAGGATAATATAATATAATATTATATATATTCGTCTACAAAATACTTTATATCCATCAACAATTCCCCAGTTCATTTTTTCAAATTTCTTAATTTGTTTATTTATTCCCCATTGATGTAGAGTATATTAGGCTCCCACCTGTGCTTCTAAGCCCATAATTTATTACAATAGATCTACTTTTTTTATTGGTATAAAGCAAATAGACGGCTTGTTTCAAAGTTTGCATGAACTTCAGTTGTCCCGAGATTTATGGGATGGATTTGGACTTGCGGAACACAGACGCTGAGAGAGACATTTTCACAATTATATTGGAGTCATGTGTTTTAGACATGCTGTACACAGGCTTTGAGACACTGACAGCCATACGCAGAATAGCGGCCATGTGTTTTAACTTAGTATAGATCAAGTTTATGCCACGTCCATTCAGCTAACGTACAGCATCGCTGGATTGTTTACAGTCATGACAACAATCTAGAAACCCCTCTCAAAGCCATGTTAGTAGTAACCAAACTGTTCTTTAATCTCTCTCTCTCTCTCTCTCTCTTTCTCTCTCTC